CCAAGACAAAGAAACTCATCTTCAGTTTCTTAAAGAAGATCTTGAATACAAAAAGATTGACAAAAATCTTTCTGAAACAAGTCTTCAGAAGAAGATTTCCAATCTTGAAAATCAAATCAAAGATTCCATATGTTCTAATATTCCCAATACTTTCTGGTCTCGTAAGTGTCACATAGTTGATTTACCTTATGAACCAGGATTTTCAAAAAAGGACATTCCTACTAAAGCTAGACCTTCTCAAATGAATCACGAAGTCCTAAATTTCTGTCAGAAAGAAATACAGGAACTTCTTGAGAAGAAGCTTATTAGGAAAAGCCAATCACCTTGGAGTTGCTCTGCTTTCTATGTCAACAAAAATGCTGAACTAGAAAGAGGAGTTCCAAGATTGGTTATAAATTATAAACCCTTAAATACTGCTTTAAAATGGATAAGATATCCAATTACTAACAAAAAGGATTTGTTAAATAGACTTTATGATGCAAAAATCTTTTCAAAGTTTGATATGAAATCAGGCTTTTGGCAGATTCAAATTAGTGAAAAGGACAGATACAAGACAGCCTTTACTGTTCCTTTTGGCCAATATGAATGGAATGTCATGCCTTTTGGTCTGAAGAATGCTCCTTCTGAATTCCAAAGGATCATGAATGATATTTTTAATCATTGTTCTGATTACATTATAGTTTACATAGATGATGTTTTAATATTTTCTACATCCATAGAAAAACATTTTAAACACATCAATCATTTTATCAATGTAGTGAAGAAAAATGGTTTAGTAGTTTCACCTACTAAAATATCCCTTTTCAAAACAAAAATTCGTTTTCTAGGACATTACATCCATCAAGGTACTATCATACCTATTGAAAGATCAATAATATTTTCTGAAAAATTTCCTGATGAAATCAGAGATAAAAATCAATTGCAAAGATTTCTAGAAAGTTTGAATTATATTATTGAATTCTTTCCTCGCATCAATATAATTTGCAAACCACTCCATCAGAGGCTAAAAAAGGATCCTCCTCCATGGACCCAAATTCATACTGATATTGTAAAACAGATCAAGCGAACTGTCAAGGAAATTCCTTGTTTACATCTTGCTGATTCTTCTGCTTTCAAAATTGTCGAAACCGATGCTTCTGATATTGGATACGGAGGAATTCTTAAGCAATCCAAGGACAACAAAGAACAGATTGTTCAGTTTGTCTCCAAGCACTGGAATGATTGCCAAAAGAATTACTCCACCATTAAGAAAGAAATTCTTGCTATTGTACTTTCTATTTCTAAGTTTCAAGAAGATCTTTTGAATCAAAAATTCCTATTACGAATTGATTGCAAATCTGCAAAAGATGTTTTGCAGAAAGATGTTCAAAATATTGCTTCCAAACAGATTTTCGCCAGATGGCAAGCTATTTTATTTGTTTTTGACTTTGATATAGAATTCATAAATGGTTCTTCAAATTCTCTCCCAGATTTTCTCACAAGAGAATTTTTATAGGGAAAATGCCTCCCAAACCACCCAACAAGCCCACAAGGAGAGACAAAGGAAAACAAATTGTAGAATCATCTTCTGAAAAGAAACCCTCAGGCTTGACCAATATCAGAACCTGGCTCCAGGCTGCACAACAACCATTGAATATTACTACCATTTCCAGCCAGGTCAAAAAGGAACCTGTTTCTCTTAAGGGAAATCCTTCTGATTTCAATAAACTCTCACAATATGATATAACCCAATTATCTCAAGAAGAAGCCTTACAGCTTCTCCAACAGGCTTTCAATACTCAGCCTCAACCATCCATGGCGATGGTAAGTCCAGATCCTTCTCCCATAGCCACTCAGAAGGCAAAGGGAAAAACAATTGCTAGCGAGGTGGTAATACAGTCTACTCATACTACCCCTCCAAAATCAAAATTTTTCCATAAAACAATATTTCAAAACATCTGCAATGTTAAAAATGGTTTCTACAATGCAGATCCATATGTTTTTGCTAGAAATATGTTTTCTGAGAAATTCTTTTATACTCCTCATGATATTTACAAAACAATAGAATTTTATGAGAAAATTCTGGAAGAAACAAAATCTGTTACTTTCAGACATTTCTCTGATAAGGGTCATGTGAATTATTCCACAGCCAGGATTCATAGGGTCATTCACCCTTCTCAATGGAAACCGGATCCATTGGCCTTGAGAAAATTCAATAAAACCGAATCCCTTCCATACAGAACATCCTTCTCATATTTTGACATATATATATACACACACACACTTGAAAGAGCTTCTCCACGGCATCAAACAAGATGGCAGTGCGATGCCCAGTGGCTTATGGAGAGATAGAGAGAGAGAGGATTTCATTTCCCATGGTTTCATACCAGTTATTTACCCTCCTTAAGTCTATAATCTTATAATGGACATCTTAATTTAAATGTCTCCAACGGTGTTCAATCTACCAGACATCTCTTACGATAATTTACTCATTTGGAGTTTCGATGACACTAATTTGTTGGGGTGCATTAATCAATGTTAGAGATAAGGGACCCACATGGACAAGATTTTTTTTTGGTGTAAAATATCAATATTATAAAGCAGATGAAGTATAGTAGCTTAGGGGCATCCCTAGCATCACAAATAATGCTAATAATTCAAAAAGATGGAGGTAGGGAGTCTCCACATAGTAGCCTATAAAACATTTGTCTAGAAAGGTCTAATTCTACCTTTTACATTTTTATGCACCTTAGCCAAAATATTATGGATGTCAATTGATTTATTTTGAAACCGTCTACGGTTGTGCTTTATCCAAATTCCATCTACGATTGATAGAAAGGATACCTTGAGGAGTCATGCCACCAAGTCTTCGCCTTTTGTTGCTTTAATCATCCATTGAAGTTCCTCATTCCATCCTCTTAAAGGATGCCTAATCCCATGTTGTGCAAGAATACTGCACCATATGCTGCCTGTCAACTCACACTAAAAGAATAAATGTGTTCTGTCTTCTATACCGGCCCTTTAGAAGTTGCACAATATACCAACTGAAGTCATCCATTGGCCGACAATCTTTGCTATTGTTAATCTATTTCTACAAACGAATCAGCCAATAAAATTGTGTTTGCTAATGCCGCCGGTCCAAATTAGATTATACCACTTCGCAACCGATCCCACATGTCTAAGTTCGTCATAAATTTCTTGGTAACAATACCTTAAGCTATGGATAACTGAAGTTAGAACAGGTAAAAATTTAAGGAGACATCGCTAACTCTAAGCCATATTTGCTCCTAATGTTGATCTACATAATTGGAGTGCCTCTGCATTTGGTGTTGTGAACTCATATACTCCAAAAGGAAGAGGATGGACAATTGATAAGGTTTCAGAACATGCGGCCTAACAATACTTTGTTCTATAAGTTCAGAACGAGCAATCCTAATCTTCCTTCCCTTTTAGGTGAGCAAACTACTTGTCATGCCACTTCGTGCGATCCATGATTTATTGTATTACTTGCCTACAAAAATTGATGGATCCTCTTTTCAACCTTGTATATGATTTGCTTTGGAAGTAAGAACATTTGTATCCAATAGATGGATGCAGATGGAGATGAGAACTAATTTGGGTAACTCTAGACGCCTTGCATAACTCATATACTTAATGCCCCAACTTTCGATTTTCTTAAAGAGAGTTTGAATACTTCATTGGACTAAAATCTTGAATGAATGTGAGTTCATATTTATGAGCTTGGCCTTGGACTTTTTCTTTGCGATCCTCAGGATAATTTATTGGTCTAAAGCTAATCGTGCATCTTAACAAGTAGTATCACTACTTGTATATGATTTGCTTGGACTTTTTCTTTATGATCCCTAGGATAATTTATTGGTCTAAAGCTAATCGTGCATCTTAACAAGTAGTGATACTACTTGTGGTAATCAGTGGCCACCAATATATGTCAATGTCTTTATAAATGCGATCTAATTATAGAAAATTTCATGCATAATTACGGATTTTTGGGGAAAATTATCATTACATTACCATTTGGTTGAAGTGACTATGAATGAAGGCAGGTTTTACGATGCAACAATGTGGGGTGGAATTTACTAGATATAAATAGTTGACTCATAAATTTGATTTTAATTATTCTGTTAAGGTGGATCCAACTATATAACATGAAATTAATGGGTTCAAACTCGGACTCATCTTTGGAAATTTTCTCATAACAGGGTATTGGAATGTTGCGGTGCCACCCAATTACGATAAACATGAGGCCAAGGGTTAATTTGCATTTGATTCTGGACACAATATTACACGAGAAAACAATTTATAGTTAGATCGATTGATTCAAAACCACGTGACTCGGCATATAATTTGAGAAAATAAATCATTCTGGAGCTGAAAAAATATCCTTAAATATTTCAGCAGCTGAAAAAATAATTTGTAAAAATAAATAATTCTAGAGCAAACTAAATACCGTAACACAGATAAACAGAAGCAGCAAAATAGAATCGCTAACTCAAAAGAAACTTGTCGATTTCCTTAGAAACGTTTATTAAATTTTAAAGATGATTAATCATTTTGCCAACCTTTTCTAAACTCAAATTTGCCAAAACCAACATAGATAAAGAAACATATTATCAATCTTTTTCATAGATATTGAATAAGAGGAAAAGTTGGTGACGTGGCAAGTGATGAGAAGACATTCTTTTCGTGGGTTTTGATAAATGGTTTCTAGAAAAATGTTGGAGGAGGATCAAAACGATGTAACAAATCGAGATAACGACAGTCTCAACAACGGAACAGAAGTTTTAGAATCAACAGCCTTTGTTGCCTCATAGAATGACAAGTAAGAGGTAACAACAAAACGACTCGATAACCACAAAACGACGTTATCATGGCCCCCATATTGTTTGTCGCCCTTCCATCTCACACCTTCTATAATAAGCAAAGGGCATATGAACTGCCTTCGGCTTTTTAAGCTCACCTTGAAGACCCCAAACTTCACCAATTGAAATTAGCAAGAGGGCACATAAAATTGTTGTCCAACTCTCTTTGCATCTCCAACACTTTTCTGTCTAAACACGAGTGGTTGCCATGAAATATACTGCAATAATCTTGGTCTTTCTGCAATGTTGTCTTGCTTTGCAGGCCAACTCGACGATCCTGCATAAGTATGAGTCGATCTTCAACTTCGGCGACTCCTTAAGCGACACCGGGAACTACTTCCGGTCCGCAGAGGGATCTCCAACTGTGCCGAATTATCCTTATGGCAAGACCTTCTTCGGGCATCCGACCGGTCGTTATTCAGATGGACGTCTTATAATTGATTTCATTGGTATGTAGTTCTCCCGACTCTTCTTTGCTTTTGTATATGCATGCTCTTGTTAGGAAAAAGAACAGGCATATGAAACAGAAGGCCGCTGTTATTTTCGTAAATATTTGGATCTTTAGCAGTATATATCCACGCTCAAAGAAAGAGTATTTTTCTACGTTTCGTATATGAAAATGAAGCGGAAGCAGTTGGGTTACCCTATCTGAAGCCATATCTTGAGGTAGTCAACGGCTCGGTTGATGCTCGCGGTGGAGTTAACTTTGCAGTTGCTGGTGCCAAAGCTCTTGATCCGACATTCTTTGAAGCTCGACACATTCGAACGATCCCCATGACGAATTATTCCTTAAGCGTTCAGCTCCAGTGGTTCAAGAAACTAAAATCTTCTCTTTGCACATCACAACAAGGTAGATATAAACCCTATTTTTGTATGCTCCCATTGAGGACTGACATATACAGCAATAACTTTTGTGTACGTCCATTTTGTGTCATCGATCTTATTCACTCAAGATATGGTCATCCATAGAGGTGATTTGGTAGATCTCAATTATATGTAGCCCGTAAATCTTTCATAGGATAATCACTCAGAGTTAGCATATTTTGTATTTTCAACTCAGAAACTGAAGGTCATTCGTTTGAATTCCATCAACTGCATGCAAGCTGCTCCGGGTTAGGGTTACTTGCTTAGGCCAAAGGCCTTAACTTTATCGGTTTATGGGGTTTGCATGGCATTTTAAGGGTCTCTAGATAGATGGTTTTCTACCTCCTTGCTCTTGCATTATTAAATGAAATAAAACCAGTCTCTCTTTGAGTGACTATAGTATAGGAATATTTCTCAGTCATTACCGTCTTTTATTCAATTACTTGAATCATTTCATCATTTGATTTTTGCTTTCGTTTTTTCTTTCGCAGATTGCGATACATATTTCAAGAAGTCCTTATTTCTAGTGGGGGAGATTGGTGGAAACGACTACAATCTTGCTTTCGCCCTTGGTGCAACCTTTGAGCAGCTCCGTCCCATTGTCCCAGATGTTGTTGGAGCCATCACCAATGCAATCAGCGTATGGCCCTTTCTTTTCTTGCAAGTGACTTGAGCACAATACTACTTGTTCAACAACATCTTACAAAACCGAGTTGCTATCTACTTGGTTAACCTTTTCTTACTACTCCAATAAATTTATTTCCAAGGCATGTGATTGTTTTAGATGCTCATCGAAGAAGGGGCGGTGGAGTTGGTAGTGCCAGGAAATTTGCCGATAGGTTGCTCGACGTCATACCTGGCGACCGTTCCGCGTTTTACCAAGGACGACGTTAATATGACAACTGGTTGTCTCAATCGTTTTAATGAATTCGCCAAGTACCACAACGATTATCTCCAGCGAGAGTTGCAGCTTTTGAGACAAAAATATAGCCATGCAAGGATCATCTATGCGGATTATTATTGAGATGCCATGCGTCTCTTTGAATCACCAAAACAGTATGGTGAGTTTCCTTTCATCTTAGTTCATGATCGACGGTGAATAGGCATATACATAAATAGAAGATTTATCCTACTTTTGGTTTAATATGGTTCACCTGATTTCCCTAAGCACCAACCTTTTTGTCCTTTTTTGCAGTAACTCAAACCTTTTCCCATGTAGAGAAGTTCTCTGGGAAAAAAACAAAGAATTATTTTTTTTGCACATTGTGTTGAATTTCCCTTTGCTTGCTCAACATAAACTAAAAATAATTCGAGATGACGACCAAAGCGCGTTGAAAAGTTTAGTCCTGTATGAAGTCTCCTCGGACGTGTCACAGGTTTAGTGCAAAATAGAGTGGCACGGATATGTCACTACATGGCATCAAAATTAATCGAAAACTTGTGGCTCTTGATGAACTTATAAGAGTGAGTAGTGAGATCAATGTCCTCTTGTTTTCAGGTTTCGGTAATTTGATACAGAAAGCTTGTTGTGGAGCTGGTGGACCATTCAATTTTGACGCCATGAAGATGTGCGGTTCCAAGGGCACAACTATGTGTACAGAACCATCAGGTTACATACTTTGGGACGGAGTTCACTACACCGAGGCGGCGTATCGGCACCTGGCCAAGGGTTTACTCGACGGTCCCTTCACTTCTCCACGTCTCGTTAACTAGAAGTCCGAAGGGGACAGTGCATAAAGCTTCGATTCTAATGTCAAAGATGAACTTATGCTTATGTTATTCTACCTGTTTCTTCTTGTTTCAGAATTCCATCCTGTAACATTTTCTTGTTGGATTATCATGCATGTAATGAGTCATGAATACAGATTGTTGCTATTGCGAGCCACTCAACCAATTAACTATCTAACTTTTCTCAATTACTGATATATGATCGGATCCTCAGAAATTTACGTTTTTGAAGGGTTGACATAGTAATACTAACGATTTTGAATAGCACAAATTTATTCACAATATTTTCTTTTTATTCCTTTCATTTTTTTAACGTTTTACTTCTCTCACTCTAAGCCTCTCCTCCTTGAATTCACTGAATATAGACCTCCTCCGCCGTTGTCATCGCCCGTGATTGTCACCGACCTCATTCCGAGCGACCCCATGAGCACAAATTCTCGATACATTTTCTTTCGTTCCAAATTTTTTTTTCCCATATTCTTCATTCCCACTCCACCTCTATCCTCCTCAACTCCACTGTACACAGACCTCTGCCGATGTCGGCCCCCAATGTCACCTCCAGCCTCCATCCATGTCGGGCAATCCACGACCTATTGCCCTGTCGTCGCAACCGTCGTGCGTGATCTGCCTCTGTCTCTCTCGTGCATGCGTCAAGTCACTGGCCACCAAACTAATTGCACGACTAGATAGAGGATGATCTCCAAGTCATGACAAATCACCGTGCATGTCGGGCGAGGGCCGGACCTGGGTTTTGCCGGCCTGGTCCTTAAACTCAAATTGGGCTCAAAATATGAGCCCAGTCCAATCGAGGCCTACTCCTACCAAGCCCTAAACTAAACCTAAGCCTTGATTTCAATTTCATCTAGCCTAGCCTACTAAAAATAAAAACCTAGCCCAAAGTAAAATAGACCGGACCAGAACAAAGCGGGCCAGCCAGATTAGCGAGCCGACCTGGATCGCGAACTCTCCCTCACCTGCGGTAAAATTGCCGCTACGGAGATGGCCGTGGTGAGCAGCGCCGCTCGTATCCGTCTGACTGAGGGTGTGTCCAGACTCTACCTTAGGAGCAGGCTGGGCGCTCGGCCTAAGTCCAACCAGCTGTTGTATATTTAAGCTGTTTTCGATATATTAAAAAGTAACGGCTTTGATAATAGTCATGATCGCCATGAAAGTCATCATTTTGTAATGGTTTTGCAACGCTCGTATAACGGCTTTCTATTGGCTTAATAATGAATTTATAACGGTTTTTTAACGTTTGATTTATTTCTTCCTAAATTCTACATCATTTTATAATAGCTACATAACGGTCATATTCTTTTTTAATTACCAATTAATTTATAATAGTTTCCCAACGACTTTCTTTTTCTTTTACCAATAAATAGTTACTTTGAACGTAATTGGAAAGTGATATCGATATATCAAACAAAAATATTCTTGTTTTTCGTTACAAATATTTCTTTCATTTCTTTACTAGGTTGCACACATAACATTGTTCCCCTTCCTTCTAATATTCAGTATGGAATATAAAAGAAGATTTGTTATATCTTGAAAGGATAGACGCTAGGGCTTATCGCATCGAGTTTCGTATTTCAAGAGGCGTAATTATCCTTAAGGACAGTGCTTACATGCATAAGATAATTGATTTTATTTTCTCATCTTTTCTAACAGATTTCCAACAATTCTTATTATTTTTCATGTTATCTAATATTTTCCCAACACTAGCGATGCCACGGCGGCGGTCCCGGTGGGGTTCTTGTGGGACACCCGAGCCGTGACCATCGGGGGGGCCTCCGCGGACATCCACAATGACCCTCTCGGCCGACCTAAAAAATGGTGGAAGGGATAGCGGGGATGCATAGAAACGGCCAAACGACCAATGCGCGGGAACTCCGACACCACGGGGATGCCTCGACAAGGTTGGGCCGAGCACAAACGGCTCGACTCCGATCAAAACAGCTAAACAAAAACTAGGTCTCATTCAATCTTTTTAACAAACAGTTTGAGTGCATCACCGAAACCAGGGATTTCCGGCTCAACCGGGACTCAAACCCACGTTGGAACCCTCGATACACGACATACAGGAACAATGGAACAAAAAAGAGTGGTGACGTGGGCCAGAGCTTGCGCAAGCCGAACGGTCGCAAGCTCCGATCCAATGTGCCCAAAGACAGGGAAAACAGGGGACTCACAGCAAAGAGAAAAAATAGGGCCCCTACCAGCCTTGGCAGCTGCGAATGGAGTGTGAGCTTGACAAATCGGACAATGTTCGGTCGCCCCACACGCCTCCGAGCCTGGATCCCCGGGAAATCGACATAATCCAAAAAAAATCAAGAAAAAAAACGAGCCGAGACCTACCGTTGCTTAGTTGCGGGAAAAGGGTCGTGCTGGCGAGTTGTCAGCTGCGGTGGTCACTGGCGAGGCCCCTTCGCTCTCTACTCATGCTGAAAACTCTCTCACGGCTCTATATTTCTCCCTCTCGACTCTCGGTCTCCCTGATCTCCCCCCAAAAATATCTGCCCCCAGTCTCTTTTCAAGAAATCCCACCGGTGAGTCCCTCTACCACCGCCTCTCTCCTCGTAACCAAACAGGTCCATTTCCATTAAGGTGGCCTCTGAACTTACAACTAGAGCTCCCCCTCCATTGGCCGTAGGCCTATCGGCTGCCTGCTCTCTTTGTCCCCTATGCACATGCGTGAGGGAAAGAAGAGGAGAGAGAGGAAAACGTTGGGTGGCTAGGCGCGAAGAAAAGGAAGAAAAGGGGGGCTGGGCTAGCCCACCCGTTTCGCCCCCCTCTTCTCTTTTTTATTATTATTTTATTTAAAAGATAATTTTAAATTTAATTTTTTTAAGAGGAAAACATGTTCTAATAAATTCTATTAATGTAAATGCACCTAGTATCTACATGCTATGCAATTTAATTTTACTATTTTTGCTTAGGGAGCTATAGTTTGACCCTATATTTTCTGTGCAATCTATCAATAAATGTTTAGCTAAAATTGAAGTGTCAACGGCTGCCCTTTTTTTAAGGTGAGCTTACAAAGGTTGCATTCAAAGACAATTGATACCTGGTCATGCAAATGCAATGAGTGCTATTTTTTGTGGGATCACAAATCCCATTTTTAAATGTAAATTGTCATGATGCAAAGAAAGTAAAGCCTACTTAGAGTTATTTGCCTTGTCGGAGTGGTAAGAGTAATTGCAGGCATGAAATGGCACTTCAACCTATCTTTGGTTGCATTGACATTGAAAATTGCTTATCTAGGATCCGGACCTAACTCCAGTCACTTGTCAGAGCAATGAATTGTTTGTCTTGAACCTGGACTTATCCCCGGTCGCCTGACATAGCAGCAAAGATTACTTGCCTAGGACCCGAACCTTTCTTTAGTCACTTGACATAGCAATCAATGATGAGTGGCTTGTTTAGTACTCGAACCTTTCTCTGGACATAATAAAAGGCGGTATGACCTATTTGCTTGGTACCCGAACCTTTCTTCAAGGGTATGATAGGTCGATGATGGATGCCTGTTTGGTATCCAGACCTTTCTCCGGACGCTCGACCTATTAAGTGCTCGAACCTATCTTTGGACGCTCAATAGGGCGAAAATAGGCTACCAGTTTGGTATCCGACCTTTCTTGGGCACATGATGGGGTCAAGAACGAATGCTTGTCAAATATCCGACCTTTCTCAAAACGTACTGACCTTTCTCGGGACGAAAGCCTATTAAGTGCTCGACCTTTCTCGGGATGTATCGACCTTTTTCGGGACTAATGCTTGTTAAGTGCCCGAGCTTTCTCGGGGTGTACCGACATTTCTCAGGACGTATGCTTGTTAAATGCCTGACCTTTCTCAGGGCGTATAGTAGGAATAAAAATCCTCGAAGGGGATACCTAGATTCAAATTCATATACTTGGTGAGATGCACAGATTTCGCCTCCAGCACTCGAAAAAAGATATCGGGAGTGACAACTCGAACATAGTGAGTGCTAGTGTAACAATAGAGGATACCTGAACAGTCATAGGTACTCGAAAGTCTAGAATACTTGGACAATCACAAAAATTCAAAAATAGAGGTAGAGATACACTTACCTGGTAGTATCTTTGATCCTCGAGGGTATGTCTTTTGTAAGACATGATTAATGCAACATGCATTCATAGACAATCAAGAACACATTTACTTATACATGCTGTAAATTCATTTAGTCAAATGGGGTTCATGCATGACGATTTTGCCAATATCACATTACCAAGGTTCCATTGGGGAAAAATCATAGCAAGATAATCTGGACTCATAATGTGG